TTTTGCCATGTCAAGTAAAACTGAAAACATCTGAACACTTTTGATAGTGGAAACTAGGTACTTATGTGCTTTACTGACACGCTGCATTCTTTAATAGTAAATGAGATGTTTCCTCAGAAGGGAGACATTTGGCAATGGTGGCCTATTTTTCTTTAGCTCTAGTTTTCTCTACAATAAGGATTCTGTGGTATTCATAAGATTGGATAGCAAAGTAAAGGATCGCTAACATTCTTTATGCTTCTCATTTCTACCCCTTATGAATTCTTTATTGACTGAGAAATTTTTGTTCCATATTCTGCCACTTTGAATTTTTTTTTAGTATACTGTGAAGTACTGTAATACATAAATATGTTTCAACATTCTACTTACTTTGAAACATATCCCTTTAGTATGGATTCTGTTTCATTTACTAAGTGTTGAGTCCAGAGGACAGGATTTCCACATTCTGTGCAATTGTAAACTGTATAAATTTTTGGTTTATAAAATTTATAAACCTCAAGGCCAGCCTGGTCTACATACTGAGTTCCAGGACAGCTGGGGCTACAGGGAGACCCTGTGTCAAAAAGACCAAAAGAAAAAACAAATTTATAAACCAAATTTATACGATGCAGTATAAATTTTTGGTAACTTTACCATTTGATATATGGTTAAAGGAATTTCCAAATCACTTATATTGGAAGTGTCTCCCTTTATTATGCATTCTATGATGTTCTATAAGAGTTGAAATCTCTAAGAGCTGATGCATGAGGAAAGGACTCACTCCTTTTCATTGGTAGGGTTTCTCTCCAGTATGAATTCTCTGATGAAACCTTAAATGAGACAGAGAAGTAAAGGCCTTGTCACATGTTTCACACTTGTAGGGTTTTTCTCCAGTATGAATTCTGTAATGAGTCTTAAGTGATGAGCGTGCAGTAAAGGATCTGCCACATTCTTCACATCTGTAGGGTTTCTCTCCATTATGAATACTTTCATGACCTCTAAGATGTGAGGGCTGGTTAAAGGACTTGTCGCAGTCTACATATTTGTAAAGTTTTTTTCCAGTATGAAGTCTGTAATGATTCTTTAGTGTTAAGCGTGCAGTAAAGGACCTTTCACATTCTTCACATTTGTAGGGTTTCTCTTTAGTATGAATTTTGTTATGACGTCTAAGATTTGAGGAATGGATAAAGCACTTATCACATTCTTTACATTTGTAGGGTTTCTCTCCAGAATGGACTGCTTGATGTATTCTAACAGTTGACATTCGAGTAAAGCACTTGTCACATTTTTCACATTTGTAGGGTTTCTCTCCAGAATGCACTGACTGATGTATTCTAAGACTAAACATTCGAGTAAAGCACTTGTCACATTCTTCACATTTTTCTCTCCACCCAGTATGAATATTTCTATGACGTCTAAGACTTGGCCTTTCAGTAAAGCACTTGTCACATTCTTCACATTTGTAGGGTTTCTCTCTAGTATGAATATTTTTATGACTTCTAAGATATGAGTCCCTGGTAAAGCACTTGTCACATTCTTCACACCTGTAGGGTTTCTCTCCAGTATGAATACTTTTATGATTTTGAAGATGAATGGCCTGGGTAAAGGACTTACCACATTCTTCACATTTGTAGGGTTTCTCCCCAGTATGAATACTTTTATGATTTCGAAGAAGTCTGGCCTGGGCAAAGGACTTGTCACATTCTTCACATCTATAGGGTTTTTCTCCAGTATGAATTCTGTAATGACTGTTAAGTGTTGAGTGCAAAGTAAAGGACCTGCCACATTCTTCACATTTGTAGGGTTTCTCTCCAGTATGAATGCTTTTATGATTTCTAAGATATGAGGCCCTGGTAAAGCACTTGTCACATTCTTCACATCTGTAGGGTTCTTCTCCAGTATGAATTCTGTAATGAATTTTAAGTAATAAGCGTGCAGAAAAGGACATGTCACATTCTCCACATTTGTAGGGTTTCTCTCCAGTATGAATTCGCTGATGTGATCTAAGATGTGACTTTTGAGTAAAGGACCTGTCACATCCTTCACATTTGTAAGGTTTCTCTCCAGTATGAATTCTTTCATGACGCCTAAGATTTGAGGACCTGGGAAAGCACTTGTCACATTCTTTACATTTGTAGGGTGTTTCTCCAGCATGCATTGCCTGATGTATTCTAAGATTTGACATTTGAGTAAAGCACCTGTCACATTCTTCACATTTGTAGGGTTTCTCTCCAGCATGCACTGCCTGATGCATTCTAAGATTTGACATCAGAGTAAAGCACTTGTCACATTCTTCACATCTGTAGGGTTTTTCTCCAGTATGAGTTCTGTAATGACTCTTAAGTTTTGAGCATGCAGTAAAGGACCTGCCACATTCTTCACACCTGTAGGGCTTTTCTCCAGTATGAATTCTGTAATGACTCTTAAGTTTTGAGCATGTAGTAAAGGACATGTCACATTCTTTACATTTGTAGGGTTTCCCCCCAGTATGAATATTTCTATGACCTCTAAGACTTGCGGGGTTGGTAAAGGACTTGTCACATTCTTCACATTTGTTGTGTTTTCTGGTGTGCTCTAAATTCTGACATGTATCTAAAGAACTTGCCACATTCTTCACATCTGTAGGGTTTTTCTCCAGTATGTATTCTATAATGAATCTTAAGTGTGCAGCGCAAAGTAAAGGACATATCACATTCTTCACATTTGTAGGGTTTCTCCCCAGTATGAATATTTCTATGACTTCTAAGACTTGTGGGGTTGGTAAAGGACTTGTCATATTCTTCACATTTGTAAGGACTCTCTCCTGTATATATTCATTGATGTGCTCTAAGATATGACATATGTCTAAAGGACTTGCCATATTCTTTACACCTGTAGGGGTTCTCTTCACTATGTGCTCGCTGATGTGCTCTAAGACTTGATATTCGACTAAAGGACTTGACACATTCTTCACATCTATAGAGTTTCTCTCCAGTATGAATTCGCTGATGGTCTCTAAGATTTGACATTTGACTAAAGGACTTGACACATTCTCCACATCTGTAGGGTTTCTCTCCAGTATGAATATATTTATGCTTTCTAAGATTTGATACATGGGTTTTGGACTTGTCACATTCTTCACATTTGCAGAATGTCTCTATGTTATCCACCTTCTCATGTCTTCTAAGAGTTGAGTTCTGGTTGGCTACAGCCTCCCTTCTCTTCACATTCCAGGGCTCTTTGCTTTGTTCCAGACAGGAGACCAGAACAGGCGTACACACAGCAAGACCTGTGTATGAGAAAGAGGCGCATACTTGATGTATTATAAAGTACAAGATTTCTGACACAGCACTGTGCTCCACTGGAAGTATAGAGAAAAAGAGATGGCTGTCCAAATAATTTCTCAATTTTTATTTTAGGACAGACTCATTAGAATACAGAGGAATTTTTTCAGTTTTCATATGCTGAGTTCTATCACTGATTCAAAATGCAGCGATGGAAATGTAACCTTAAGATTC